GCTGGTCATGTGACCGGGGGGGGTGGAATCCCCCCACGTGACCCCCGAGCGCACAGCTGAGGGGGGGCGTTCCCAGCGCGGCCCAACGGCCGAGGGGGGTGGAGCCCTGGGGCCGGGCCCAGTTGTGCGCCCCGCAGGGGAGAGCAGCTGGGGGCGGCCGCCGCCCCCGCCCGCGGGTGGTGCACCCCGGAAATGGGAGCAGTGCTGCCAGGGATGCGATCATTATCGTACTTGTGGGATAATGTCAACCCTCATTCCACGTAGGATCAATGACAGTTGTTCCAAACGTTCAGACCTACCTTTGCTTTCTCCCCTGCCTGCCCAGGGGGGTTTGGGCCCAACAGCTTGCACATCAAGAGGGGTTTTTTGCAACCACCTAGTTGGTCTAATACAAGAAACTGCCTCGCCCCCTCAAGAGTTTTTGTCCTCAAGACCTACCATAATTTTGGAAGCAGCTCATTGATGTGGCACATGCAAAACCCAGGTCCTTCTGGGGGAGCCTTAGCTGACTTTCCAGTTGGCTCTCAGCACCTTCTTATGACCACCTGCCTCCAAATAAAGAAATGCGTCAACTTTGAGAATCCAGTTCTTGCTCACTTACTGGCACCTAATACTGAGCAATATACAGTAAAGAAGATTGATTTACATGTATGTTTGCATACTTATTTGCATATTTTAGTGTCTGAAAGATTTTCAGCAAATATGATCATTTCGAGCTTCCTGTATAATAATTTCATATTTAAGACCTGGCAATGCTGAACGGATGCCTGGGCGCTGAGGCAGGTGGGGCGGCTCCAGCCAGCGCCCCTGCCCCATTGTGGCGGCTGGACTTAGACCCTTCCTCACCTCACCCAAGAACTGGCACTGGCCGTGTCAGACCATAGGTGCGTCTTGCCCCAGGTCCCTGGCAGGGGCACGAGCCTGAAGGGGAGAGTGGGGGTGACCACAGGTTGTTTTTATCCACCTGCCACTGTTCCCCTCTCCAGCATTTAAGGCCTAGGCTGTACCCCAAACTCCCACACTCAGTTCCCATTGATGCACCTTTATTCCAAGAACTCACCCAGTCGCTTTTTGAATCTAGCTAAAATGAAGATCAAGATACATGAGGATTTTTCTCTGCTTCAAGCCAGGGTCAGCACAGCAGCGGCCTTTTCAGCAGAGCTTTCCAGCATTTTCTCCCATTAGAGGGAATAGGCCTTGTACCTGTGCTGCGCATCTCTTACTGCTATTTGTTCTCAACCTCAAATCCAATCACGGGTGGCAGAGTTTCTGCAAAAAGCAATGATGGCACTGTTTATTTCTTCAATCCAAAGTGATCAATTTCTAAACAAAATGGCTTGTGTTTGTGAGCAGGGGGTTCAGCCATAGGAGAGCTGTACAGATCAGCATCAGAAGCATCTCCAAAATTGACATTTTCTACAATACAACCACTTCAGAATTTGTATCCTGTCAGTACAGCCCTAGCACCTCATTCCAAACAAGATCTGCCCTCTGGCCAAATGTACACAACTTAAGAGAAAGACAGCAGGCTTAAAAATCTAGTTTAAGAGTTTCCTCAAGAGCGAACAGTAGCTCTGAACAGATAACAGCAGCTATTGCAGAATGGTTCTCCATCTCACTTAAGCTTTCACCCCTCACACCATCTCCCGACACTATTTTCAGCTTACTGTGCATCAGGCTCCTATAAGTTGCATGGTTACCTATGCAT